TCTAAACTCATGAGCCAAAAATATAGTAACAGCGCGTTTAACAGAAGAATGCTCAATATTGAAAAATTCTAGAAAAATTATTTGTATGCAAGGATGCATATGCATAAATTGTCTTTCAAGTTCAACTACAAGCATATCGATAGCATCCGCAAGACTACTAGTTCTATGAAGAATAGAACCACCCATGGAAGGTAAAGCACCAACACAAGTAAAGAAATCTTGAATAATACCTTTTCCAATAATGTTACCACTACCGATTCGAAACTTTTTAGTATGCAAGATAGGGGGTTCTTCAGTCGAGCCTCAGAATTTTCCATGTTATTATTATTGCCATTTCGACGATAATCTCCCAAATTTCAGACATAACGACAAACAAAAGCAAGGAGGAAGAAAGTGAGAGAAAGAGAGAGGAGAAGATTGGGAAAGAGAAGGCAAATAAAACGGCAAGGGTGAAGTGGGGGAGAGGAAAACGAGAGGCAAATGACAAATAATGTAAACGCGAGGGAGATGAGTTTGTGATGGGTACTTGGTATGTCTTGACTTGAGCGAAGACCTCCCCGGCAACGGTGCCAGAAATCCTTCTTGCTACGTCTTGAGCTTGCGTTGGTTTTCCTTGAAGAGGAAAGGGTGATGCAGCAATAGCAGCATAAGTATTTCCCTCAGTTTTTGAGAACCAATGTATCAATCCAGTAGGAGGCTCCTCAAAAGTCCCACGCACCTACACAAACAAAGAACTCGCAACCAACGCAATAAAGGGGTTGTCAATCCCTTCACGGCCACTTGCGAAAGTGAGATCTGATAGAGACAGTATGATAAGATAAATATATTTTTGGTATTTTATAATATAGATGCAAAAAGTAAAGATGCAAATAAAAGTAGATTGAAAGCTTATATGATAAAAGATAGACCCGGGGGCCATAGGTCTCACTAGTGGCTTCTCTCAAGATAGCATAAGTATTACGGTGGGTGAACAAATTACTGTCAAGCAATTGATAGAAAAGCGAATAATTATGAGATTATCTAGGCATGATCATGTATATAGGCATCACGTCCGCGACAAGTAGACCGACTCCTGCCTGCATCTACTACTATTACTCCACACATCGACCGCTATCCAGCATGCATCTAGAGTATTAAGTTCATAAGAACAGAGTAACTCATTAAGAAAGATGACATGATGTAGAGGGATAAACTCATGCAATATGATATAAACCCCATCTTTTTATCCTCGATGGCAACAATACAATATGTGCCTTGCAACCCTTTCTGTCATTGGGTAAGGACACCGCAAGATTGAACCCAAAGCTAAGCACTTCTCCCATGGCAAGAAAGATCAATCTAGTAGGCCAAATCAAATTGATAATTCGAAGAGACTTGCAAAGATAACTCAATCATACATAAAAGAATTCAGAGAAGATTCAAATATTTCTCATAGATAAACTTGATCATAAACCCACAATTCATCGGATCTGGACAAACACACCGCAAAAAGAGTTTACATCGAATAGATCTCCACAAGAGAGGGGGAGAACATTGTATTGAGATCCAAAAAGAGAGAAGAAGCCATCTAGCTAATAACTATGGACCCAAAGGTCTGTGGTAAACTACTCACAACTCATCGGAGGGGCTATGGTGTTGATGTAGAAGCCCTCCATGGTCGATTCCCCCTCCGGCAGAGCGCCGGCGAAGGCTCCAAGATGGGATCTCGCGGATACAGAAGGTTACGGTGGTGGAAATTGTTTTTCGTTGGCTCTCTGGATGTTTTCGGGGTACGTAGGTATATATAGGAGGAAGAAGTACGTCGGTGGCCGCCTGTGGGGCCCCGGAGACAGGGGGCATGCCCAGGAGGGGTGGGCGCGCCCTCCTATCTCCTGGCCGCCTCGTTTTCTTCTTGACTTGCACTCCAAGTTCTCCGGATCACGTTCGTTCCAAAAATCACGCTCCCGAAGGTTTCATTCCGTTTGGACTCCGTTTGATATTCCTTTTCTTCTAAATACTGAAATAGGCAAAAAAAACAACAATACAGGCTGGGCCTCCGGTTAGTAGGTTAGTCCCAAAAATGATATAAATGTGTAAAATAAAGCCCATAAACATCCAAAAGGGGTAATATAATAGCATGGAACAATAAAAAACTATAGATACGTTGGAGACGTATCAGCGCCCCCTTCCCCAAGCTAGCGCCGCCCCCCTCTTAAATAGCCGCCGTCGCCGACCTCCACCACCACCCGAGCCGCACCGCCAGCCCCGCCGCTCGCCGCCGCCGCCGCGAACCGCCGTCGCTCCGCAACGCCTCACCTCACCGGAGACGCCGCCGAAGCCGCCGGTCCCGATCCGATCCGCCGCTGGTTTTTTTCCGGTTTAGGTAAAAATCGACCGGTTTTTATTTAAACCCTAGTTTCGTTTTTTATTAGACCGGTTTTATTTTTTTCGGTTTAGTCTCAATAGCGGACGTCCGTGCGTACGTTCGTTTTAACGAACAGTGTTCACTCGTTAGCCGCAGACAGCGAACGTTCGATCGTTAGCCTGTTCGTCAGTTTTTTTTCCAGGGATTTTCCGCGATTATTTTCAATCACGATTTCTGCCCTGATTTTCGTTTTAGTTTATCTTTTCGCTCGTTTATCGGAATCAGGCGATTCAAGCGCCTAGAGTTTCGTCTCGAAGCCCTCTTTCTGTTTAACCAACTTAAACAAGTTTTTACTACTGTAAAATTTGACTTAAGTCCAGATTAGTAAACGAAGCTTGTTTCTTTCGCAGTTTGAGTTTTGTTGCTTCATTTGATTTGATTCTTTTTGCAAACCGGAGTTCTTAAGTTGAACTTTCTGGTTAGATCTCTTATTTGATTTTTACTCGTGCTTCTAGTTGAGTGCTTATTGTATGCTTGTTTGTTTGTGATAGAGTAACCGGAGTGCGAAGCGTGCTACTACGATCTCTAGATTACACGAATCATCAGCAAGGCAAGTAACACGTTGATCATACCTCTTTACTACCCATTTTTATTGCATTAGATTGATCCTCAAACAATTGCATGGTTAGGATCTGATTAACATGTGGGTTTTGGGAAGTAGATGAGGTAGTACCTATTGTCCTGTTTATTATCAAACCTTTGGAAGTTACTTATACGTTGCTTATATTGCTATGCTATGCTTGTAGACGTGGATTGAATGATTGTATCTATGACAGATGTGAGTATTGTTATTTAATGGTTAACTTGAGGTGGCTACTCTAATACACATCTGGGTGGATTGAGGCACCTGGGGAACCCAGTGTTGCCTGGTTTTTTGGAAATCCCGGGGTACCGTGTGATTCTCCTATGGATCGCCACCCAGGTTCAAAGGGATCATAAGATTATTCATGCTAGAAATTTCCGTGTGCAGCCACAAGCTATTATGGGCTCTAGCATAGTTGAGTAAGTTGCAAGACTTCTTTCAGTGGTGGTCTAGCAGATGTAGGGGAAAGTAGGTGTAACTGTCCACCCAGAGTAAAGAGTTATTGTTTCAGAAAGACTGTGTCTCGAATCTCTGACCATGGATGTATTCGAGTCTTGTGCGAAAAAGTGCGCAAACCTCTGCAGAGTGTACAAACTAATCATGGTTAGCTGTGTCCCCGGTTATGGACATCTTGAGTATCCGGTTCTTGGATTATCCCGTGGATCTCATCACTCTTAATATAATTTGATTGGGTTCAATGATGATGCTTAATTGGGATTGAGTTGGGTAAACCTTCTCAATATTTAACGACCACCATGATATTTAAATAAAATTTATTCCTTTGTTATAGGGAAAAATTGGCTTTATGCAAAACTGTAACCATTATAGCTTTCCACCAGCCATGTATGCATGTAGTGATAGCATTATTCCGTTCATTACTCTCTTGTGTTACATTGCCAGCATATTCCATGTGCTGACCCGTTTCGGGCTGCAACGTTCATGTTGCAGACTTTTCAGACGACGAGTAAGGTGCCTTAGGTCGTGATCTTTCACTCAGTGATGCCGTTGGAGTTGATGGACTCACTTTATCTTCCAAGCCTTTCGCTGTTATCGTATTTAGATGGCCTTAAGCCATATTTATTGTAATAAGTTCTCTTTTGAGACATTCGATGTAATAAGTGTGTGATTGCTACTCTGTTATAAATTCTTCAAGTACTGTGCGTGTCAGCATTACCGATCAGGGGATGACACTGATGCACAGAGATCAGATTATTTGAGGTCTGGTCGCTACAGGGAGCCAGCCCAATCGCCATTGCGGGAGCCCCGTCTTACATGACCTTTACCATAAACGATATTGAACACACGGCTGACCACATAGCATTGCCCTAAATTTTCTTCATGCTTAAGTAAGCTTCCATGCTTGCTAGTAGATAAAAGAGAGAAAGATTACACAATTTTCATATTTTCCGTTAATATGTATTAGGATTATTTAATATAATTATATTCTATCCATCTTCAAGTTAAAATCGCGTGTGCCAGTGTTAGCTCAAGATCAGCCCGTTTTTCGATCAAGTTATATAAAGCAACCATATTCAACTAATTTTTTTCAAGTCGATCACGAGTCGAATCCAAATAAGAATCGATCTGGAGCGACCGACGAGCCTCGAGCTTTTTTTTACAGCCCTAAATGCACGTGAGGGTCACACATGAGCACCTTTATTATATCTTCCTAGGCATTTCATTCATAGGGCCGGCTTGTAGGTTAGTTTCTCATCAAATTGCCGACCAATCTAGTTTTTTTCCTCCTTTCCCAGAATTTGGCACATGTAAAACGGAGAAGTACAATAACCCGGAGAAACGAGTTAATTCCGGATGTGGTTCGAAGACCAAACGGGAGCGCAACACGGAGAAGCTCTTTAAGATTCGCGCCAGCACGATAAGCGCCCGCCCACCCGCCCAAAATCCCCTGTTCTGTTCCGACGCCGGTGGCCCAGCTCGTCTCCGAGGCGATTTCGCGCAGCGGGACGCCGCGATTCCGATCACCGCCGACGCCGCCGCGCTCGCCGGAGAGCCATGTCTCGGTCCATGAGCCTCAACATGAGGTCGGCCTCGCGCCGCGACCTGCCGCCTCCCCAGAAGGTGAGGGATCCCCCCGCCCCGCCTCCCCGTTCCCCGCCCCCCTCTGCTTCCGCCCGCACTCGCGCGCGCCCGCGTCTGTGTGTGCGTGCGCGCATTGGGACGAGAGCGTGCGGGCGTGTTGGGCGATTCGCGGGTCGGATCTCGGTTTGCGGCGCCGCAACTGCGCCGTGGAGGAGTTGCCTCCCGTTGTATAATTTTTGTTCAAATTAGGGTTCAAGCAGCGAATCCGTGTTCAATTTCTCGGTTACACGAGATGTTGAAATTAGTTCGGTGGAATCGCTTGGCTGTATAGGGCCGGCTTGTAGGTAGTTTATCATCAATTTTCGTAATCATGCGTTGTGTTTTTCAGACAATTGAAAGGTTTGAGAAGATGGTGGAAGGGGGAAGTTACTACGAGGCCCAACAAATGTACAAGTCTACCAGTGCAAGGTATCCAATTTAACGGAAGCAGCGGTAGCTGGCTCCCTTCAGGCCTTCAGCCTTTCACTATTTAAAGTTTCAACCATATTGCACATTCTTGTACTTGCATATTATTATTAACATATTTCAACAGAAACCAGCCATTACCTTTTCACGTTAATTTAATTAGATCAACTATATGAGTTCAGTGTGAGACATCATTGGATTAACTATACTCGTTCAGTGTGAGACATCATTGTTGTGCTTAGTTTGTGTGTAACTATGGCAAACTGGCAACAGATGCAACATCTTAAAATAAGCTCATGCCAGGACGTACTTGAAGAAAATCAAAGTAAATCAATGACCAGGATCTTTGCATGTGGATATAATCCTAATATGAATACCAGAGTTATGTTCGAGATGACAATGGCCATTGTTATTCACACAGAATGTGCATGTATGTTTTAGGCTGAGTGCAAAATGAGTATTCCACAGAGTAATCACATAACTGTAGCTTCAGGATAAACAAAATTAGTTTCGTGCTTGTGTCTGTTGATCAAGGACCGAACATCAGGTCGCTGTTTTGACTTATTTTTTGGTCATTACATGCAGATACATTACTTGTCAAAAGTATTCGGAAGGCTTGGACATCCTTCAGTCAGGAGCTACAATCCAGTTGAAGCATGGACAGGTTAACTCTTTGCCTTATTGGCTTCTGCCGAGTTAAAAGTTGTTGTCCAAAGATGTTTATTAATTCATCTTTTCATGTATGATATTACCCAACTGCACACATTCCCTTTTCGAATCCAGAGGCTATACAACGAGCAAAAAAAACCTGAAAGCTGTCTTGGTTATTTTAAGGCATGGATTTTCTCCCTCCATAGCATTTCTCTGTAGTAATAGGGT